AAATATAATGTTTTTTAATAATTTGTCGTAAATATTCACTTGAAGGCAGTAATATCTTAATTTGCAAATGAATTACTGAATGTAAGCGGAAAATGGTAACAAATTTAAGAGAGTATTTACTAGAATTATGTAATATTTCTTTTACGTTCGAGACAGCTGCTGGTTCTTTTATATATTCCGATTTCTTTATCCAATAAATATCTTCTAAAAATAAATTCTGATATCCTCAATATTATGAATTTAATATTTTCCGCAATCGTTTTAATACATATAAGTAAATATAGTTTTAAAAGCTCGGAAAAATCCGGTTTTTTCGGTTTCTTTCCGCGGATGAATGAAAAAAAAATCGGAATAACCGGATTTTCCCATTTTCCACAGATTTTTTCCGGCTTCTTTCCGAGGAAAAACGGAAAAAGGTGTGTTTTTAATGATATAAATAAATATTTACTTATATATGCGAAGGAAATATATATATTATACGATAAATATATTTCACTATATAATCAATTATATTTCTATTTCCAATAAATGTTTGCCAAAAAGTATCGGACTAACAATGTTTCATTCGGGGATGAAGTAAATATTGCTCGAACGTAGTACTTTTTTCTTCAATGTATACATTCGTTCGAGATTGTCTCCGCGCTCGCTCGCGGCGTTTCTCTTCTCCCACGTCTCTCTAGAGATCTTCTTCCACCGGTCGCTTCTTCCGTGGCCGCTTTTCGCTTCGCTTTGGCGCTCTAAATTTATACAGGCGGGATTTTGGTGTCCGCTCGGCAACCCCCGGCCCAGCGCCATCTCACTGTTCTCGGCGCGAAGCAACCCCCATCGATTTTCCACGCGCGCGAGTGTGCCATCGCCGCCGCCGCCGCCGCCGCTTTACCAAATAAGGAAAGGACTCGCGCGCCGAGCGAGCAACCCCCCGACCTGCAACATGGCCGTCCGCCGGATGACAGTTGTTGCACTCGCTTTGGCTGCTCGTTGACCCCGCGGCGCACCGGCGACCCGTTCGACGTGCACCTGTCGGCGTCATGTGTCCGCGCCGTCGAGCCCGATTACGCCGCGATTCCGCGACGGTGAGCGCGTCAAACGTCACGCGGCCAACGCGACCGCTCGCGACCGGCACCTTGTCCTCGTAAAACCCCGACAGGACACCCCCGGCACCGAGTTCCTCGAGCGGCGAGCCTGCCGCCGCCGTACCGCCGCTCGTGGAGATACGTGGCGGCCTGTGAAAGCCGCAACGATCTCGCCTATTTGTGATATTGTAAATATTGCTCGAACAGGTGATCTTGTTGTTGTTATTGTCGTCGTTGTTGCCGCACCGGGGAGGTTCTCGCTCGGAGCGGTTAATTTAAACAAAATCTCTTCCTCGCCTCAGTCCAATCTTCGCTCCAGAAACCGGCGGGGAGAACGAAGAGGCGCGAAAGGGAGTTACATTTAATAGTATTAATTCCTACAATTTTCGGGGGTACATTCGATTGAGTGTGTAAATTAATATTAATTGCGAATTCGAGGATCACGTTTCAAGTAGAAAACTTGACTACTACTGATCAGTATAATGCGTACGTAGAAAGTCTGGAAAAATGACCCGGCACGTGCGTGATACTGCCCAACAATTTTATCCTCCCGCCTCTTTAATTATAATTTCGCATCAACATCCGCGTTAGACTCTTATTAGCCATTGTTGGTTGATTTGTTACATTTAACCGACGCTGATAAAAGCATATCGAGAAGTCTGATAAATTGAGTGTGATATGGATTTTCCTTGAGCTTTCTCGGACGCTCGTGTCTCTTTCGGAACACTGACCTATTACCGTCGACAATGGCCGTTTTTCGGCAAAAATAATATGTCTAATATGTCTGTCGTGTTTGTCATCGGCACCCTTAAGATACGACGATTAGGATATCGATCGTGTAACTTTTCCCTAGGGAAACGTGAAAAGTGAAATTCCCAATGTTTTCAAATTAGAAAATGTACACTTTTCACGAGTTCACGGGAGAGAAGATTTATGACCAATCCCCAAGGAGTCATGAATATTCTCCTCTAACGTGAACTCATGAAAAATGTAAATTTCCTAATTTGAAAACATTTGGAATTTCACTTTTCGCTTTTCCGATCTAGAGAAAAATCACAGGATCGATAACTAGAGGATCAATTGTGTGTCTCAGAACGTAGTAAGAATTGAAATAAGCGAATTTACTAAAAAAATGTATAATTTTATTGGTCAACGCTTATTGTAACCAGTTACTGTTACTGTAACCAAATCATTTAGTTGGAACTGCTTCACTAAGTTTTATAATTGTTATCAGACTCTTTTTTCATGTTGCTCACTTTTACAAATCTCACTACGTTTTGAGATATACGATCGACTTTTAAATGTGCCGTGATGATCGAATCTTGCGATAATTTCGTTATTTCGCTACCATAGCCGGCCGGTCATCGGTCAATCGGCGAGACGTTTCGAGTTTGCAGCGTGCAAGTTCTTTGAACCCGATATCTCTCTCTCTCTCTCTCGTTTGTGAATGCGTGGGACTTCTGGCATTGAGGGCCGGGCGATCGTTTCGGATAGGTCGCGGGTTTGTTGTTCCAGTGCAGTGATGCGAAAGCCGTCGCGAGCATCAGGTTGGGGATCCGGCTGCATGTAGGCGCTTCTGCTCCGCGTATTAGCAGTATAGGTGAAGAAACGTCGCGGTATGTTCAAGACGAGGATCGTCGAGACGCGCGGCGAGTGCGTTCTCGGTTGATCGGCAAATTGAAAACGGCGCGCTCGCCGAGATTCATCTCGCACATTGCGAAGCGCACATTTCCGTCGCACTCGAAAACACGTGCTGCGACCGAAGGGAAGACAAGCATCGACCGAGAATGAAACACAAATAATTGCAGCCGAGGGAGCGGATATATTACCGGGTTCAAACGCGTTCCGCGCGCGTGCCAGAAACAGATAGACAGACAGACCGATGGAGGTATGTCAAATGCAAACATTTCTTTCACGTCGCCGCTCGATGCGACGCTATTTACGTTGCATATATCGATATCGCCCGCGGTCGTTGATAGGACGTGCTATTAATCGACAGCACAAACCGTGTGCAGTGACCGGTTGGACGTGCCGTGCGGCAATGTGTGTCACTGTTCTGCAATGTGCGGAGCTTGCGTTTGAAGTAACAATCTGCTTCCGCGGAAAATCGATGGGGCTGGCGGAAATTCGTCAGGGGCTTCAGCGGAAATAATGAGTGATTTTGTTGGCGCGCAGGATCGGACAATTACTCGAAAGGTGACGGAAAAAAAATATCGGACGTTAGCGGATCGAACGTGTACAGTTAGTGGCAGAAAGATCGCAAGATTTTTCACTTGAATTGACATAAGAAAATTAATGAATTATTCGTAATTAGAGCAGAAACAGTTTTGTTCCTAAGATAGAAAATATTCTGCCGAGCGAATTTCTCCTTAAGACAGGTAATTCGCTGTACTTTCCTACATTTATTTATTTGCTCGTGTAGCAAATTAATTTGTAGATTCGGCAGAATAATTCAGCAAATAGTAATTAGTATTTTTAACAAATTGTTTTGCTGCCTATATAGTGTAACTGACAGATCCTGCCGCGACAGCATAAAATTTGCCGGCAAATTATTTTTCTCCATGCAATCGATAAAAAAATTATCTTGTGAGAATTATCAAAAGAACGCGTTTTCTTATTAAAAAGTGTTTTTACTAGAGAACTGTCTTATTAAAAAATTTGCTTACTAACCAATTTCCTTGCCAAAAAATTTTCTTACTAAAATATTTTCTTATTTTCTTATTGCATTTTCTTTCTGAAATATTTCCTTATTACATTTGTCTGTTGCACAATTTTCTTTTATTACATACTCGGATAAGCAGCGAAATTCATTGAAAAGACAATGTTGCGAACTTTCTACCACTGACACACCGTGTAGTGTCCTCGCTATCAATAATAAATATGGTAAAAAAATCCGGATTTTCGAAAGCCCCTAATAAATAACCATCGATTTCACGCTCGCGCAGCTTTCGACACTCGAAACGGGCGATACGCGACGGCCGCTCGCCGGCCGAAGATAACGGGCGCGAAACGAAGCTTTCGGTCCGAAAATAACGCGGCCGCTCGCCGCGGTACGGCGGAATCTCGCCGCTCGCAATTTTAGAAGCCGCAAAGTCGATCGTCGCGTTCCCTCGCGCACGCCAGTCACGGGAAAGAAGGAAAGAGAGGGAAAGAGAAAAAGAAAAGGAGACACATATATAGACGAAAAGAGAGCTTCGTCCTGGCAGATAACGCGTCTCTCGCGTCGGTTCCTCGCGTCGTAAAACTCCATCACGACGTTCCCACGTGAATCATTGCCGGCCGGCTCACCCCGGGTCCTCTCCGTCGCCCGTCGGCGCGAACGACCGCGCGCATGGAACCCTTTCGCGAGCGCTTCAGGTGAGGTCACCTCCTCGTCATTCGCGCGCTCGTCTCCCTCGTTGAAATTCATCAACGAGATTCATCTCTCGCCGGCGACGAGTTCGCGGAATTCATTTGTTCCGCGGCATCGATACAGTTATGCGTTAATCCGCGTGTGTGAGTATCGTCCGTCTGGAATTAACAGCGGTGTGCGGATATATAGGGACAGACTCCGCGGGCAGAAATCTCTATTTCAATGTAGTCCGATGACGAGTTGTCACTCGTCGCGTTCGCGAACGAGGAAATTCGAAATATCTCGCGAGATTCAGAGGTTTCGTTTTAGCCGAGCGACGAAAAATCGTTACGCGACTGTGTTCCTCATCGAGTAATTTCGTGAGGAAGAAATGATCAATTTCTTTTCATTCGCTTGTGACATCTTAAATTAAAAGCCGTCGTCGACACTTGGTCAAAGGAACCGTGATTAAAAGAGGATCAACTCTTTGGTGGTACGCTGTATTACGGTTGTAGCCGGGTAGCTCGTAGGATTAAACGATATCAGTGGTATCAGGTAAGCCCACATCGTGTGAACCATGTTACTTTGGCTTGCAGATGCCTTTCACGCTGTAAACTGATCCTCGTCGAAAGGAGCTGTACACTTACGATGGGCAAGCTTTTGAGTCTTTTGGCTCGGGACGAGTCTACCTGTTGCACGCCTCAAAAGTACGACGTCTTCTTAGATTTCGAGAGTAAGTGCGGCATTGGTTATTTCTTCTTTTGTTTCACGAGGAAAGCATTTTCATGTTAATTCTCGGGATTGCTTTCCGTGATTCTCGTGCGCGCTAATGCTTTGCGATTTCGTTTTTAATTAAATGTCGTTCGAATTCTCCTTTGAAGTAGCAAAACAGAATCAATTTAAGGCTCTGAGATGACAACATTGACATAAGAACGGGCTGATAAGAGTCATACGCAGGGTATTGTACAAAAAGCATGTCTAGTGTATGAGAACGAAATTGTTAGTAAATATTACGAATAACGATATAGTCGAAGATTTTAACAGTACAAAATGTTTTTTTACTGTGTGGCTCGTTTTTATATCAACGTTTCGAAGTAACATCATGTGTATAAATTCTGTATAACAAAGAAGCCGATATCGAACGCTGGAGAAAACGATAGGGTGCTAATATTTTACGTCTTTGCTTCGGTCTGCAACAGAGTTTTAAGCCTTAAGCCTTAAGAAATTCACCAATTACTGTCGATTATCCTCCTCACATTCGACTGTGATCGGTCAATTTCTTAAAGTTTAAGGTTTAAAACATCTATTGTAGACCAGGGCTTCGTCTCCGATTAAATATCGTCCTAAGTATCCTTTGAAGTGTGACGTTCTATATATATTTTATACAACAAAGAAGCTCTTATGTATATGTATCGAACATCGGGGAAAACGATGGATTCTGTCTGATAAAAGATTCCGTTTGATCACGTAGCAACGTATATATATATCATCGTTCGCCTGTTTGCAGATGCGCAGCCATCGGATATCGAACGCGAGACGTTCGAGGCGGTACAGAGAGTACTGAAGAATTCCGAGTCGATTCTAGAGGAGATACAGTGCTACAAGGGGGCCGGCAAGGAGATCCGCGAGGCGATCTCGGCGCCTACGGAGGAATGTCAACGGAAAGCCTATCTGACCGTGGCGCCTTTGGTCGCGAAGCTCAAACGATTCTACGAGTTCTCACTGGAACTAGGTACGCAGTAGGCACGCCTCATTAATTATATCGACTACGACGTACTACGTTACGCCTATAAATAGCGCGACGTTGCGAACCGCCCCTCGAAAATTCGATAGCTACGCGAATATCGGGGAAACTTCAATCTGCACCCGCGAAACGTTCTCAGCCGCGCGCGAGCAACGTGAGCTTTTCGCTATAAGTAGCAACGGCGGTTATCAGAGAAGCGCTCGCGAAAAACAACCTCTCGCAACGGCGAAATCCCGGCGTTTATCGGCGAATCACTCCGATTACACTGAGCAACGCGAAATTTGCCTTGTAATTTAACCAATTTCTCAGGTATCTTTATGTATTTTTTATCCTATGGCAGTAATTTAAATCTTTCGTTTCAAATCTTTACGGAAGTTTGTAACACACCCCATTTAGAATTATAGTTATCGAAAAATGCCCCAACGTTGCAATTTTTAGCAACTTTGATAGCAGTTTTCTTCCAAAATCCTGACGTGATAAAGACATTCCCTGTTCCCATGTTTAGTAGCCAAGAATTTGTAGGAAATTATCTACTTTAAGACACAAAAATATAGTTTTTTCGTTGCTCAGTGTTATCGACCAATCCTTCGTCCGATTTGCATTACCGTTATGAATAATGCCGATATCAATTACCAATTATTCGTATTAGATTAAATATAACATTTAATTCCGCGTATTTGCCGTATAATCTTCCAACGGTGCGCGAGCAATTGTATTAATATTAATTAATTTCGATGAAAACCTCGCGTAACATTCCCACGAATTACCACTGATGCACTTTTCACGAAAATCTCTCCCTCCCTCCCTTCCTCTCACGCTTTCTCCCCCTCTCCCCTAAATTTCGACGCTCGACAGCGATAGTGATCCTCCTCCGTTTGTTTATTCATGCGCGCAGAAAGGGTCGTGCCGAAAATTCTGGGGCAACTGTGCTCGGGGAACCTCTCGCCAACGCAACATCTGGAGACCCAGCAGGCGCTGGTCAAGCAATTGGCGGAGATATTGGAATTCGTGCTCAAGTTCGACGAGCACAAGATGAAAACGCCGGCGATACAAAACGACTTCAGTTATTATCGGAGAACGCTGACGAGAGCCTCGCTGGCGCGGCAGGATAACGCCGAGAAGGACCTGATCGTCGGCAACGAGCTCGCCAACCGAATGTCCTTGTTCTACGCCCACGCGACACCCATGCTGCGGGTTCTGAGTCACGCGACCATTACCTTCTTGATGGATGTAAGTGGTATCGCCTCGCTTTCTACATTGTTCCCGTCCTCCGCGACCTCCCGTCGTAGCAACGAGACAATTATTGATCCGGCCAGATGCTAACTGATGGCAATTAGGCGAAATTCTGCGGTAATCCAGACCTTCTCGGTCTATGCTCCTTAATTGACGTATTCCGATGCCTCTGGCCGAAAGGCAACGTTCTGTTTCGCGCCGAATTATGCGAGACGTAAAGTCGTTATTCGCTTCGTTGAGGTCGAGAGCTCGGGTATATAATATGTACAGGGTGTATCCGAACTCTATCGACAAACTTACAGGACAGATTATATGTCGAAAAATGAGTGAAAAAGTGTCTTAGTAAATATATATTCGCAAAAGCTTGATTTTTGAGATTTTTGAGTCTTCAGAAGATGATAATGTTGAAAGAAAATGTGATAAGCGGGCAAAAATGCTAATAACACTTTTTACTTTTTTTTTTAGAGATAATACTTATCAATTTTGATATTTATGAATATTAAATGAGGAATCCTTGTGACGTTGCGTGACATATAATATATAGCGTTAGAAATAATGAAACTCAATCCATCCTACACACTCACAAAGTTTGTTCCTATTGGTCTGGGACACCCTGTATATATACGTACATCACGATTCATTAATGTATCTTCTTGAAAGATCTCCGACGCACGTGAAACTTATTGTGAGTAACACCTCGAGTGAAAACGGCCGTTAACAATTTTATTAATAGTTATGAGTTCTGTAAAATTGAACCCGACAACGCGATTTCACGCGCGAAACTTCGAGAGATACAATCGCACTTTGAAATGCGCAGCCGCGATTCGGATCCCACTTATTTACTTCGTCCGAACAGAATATTCCCGGAAGAAAGCTTATGCACCGATTATTCCTCGAGCGCGAAGATATTTTTCAACAGCGCGATGAATCATTCGCTTTCGCCGGCGTATCGATCGCGATGGCAAAGAACCGCGTTACGCGATCGACACGAGATGTAATGACGGGGGCCGGGCGGAGGAAAAATTAGCCGACGGGAATAATGGCTCTGCTGAGGCGGAAAATTGACAGGTATCCTGCTCTGCGATTTAAATTACCCTGGGCGAACTGTGCGAACCGCATCGATCAGACGGGCAAAAATAACACGGCGAAAAGTCCGGCATATATATGTACGAGCTTTAATTAAAATCAATAACGAAATAATTGCGCGATATCGGAGCAGCGCCATCATCGATTTGTGTACCGTGAAAATATATGTTTTACGGTGAAGTAGAATGCTTATGCTTTCGAACGAGCTCTGCGGCCTACATCGAGAGACGAAACCCCAATGGGGGAAAAGTAATTCGAACAATCGGCAAAATAAATTGCGGCAATCGGGAGGGAAATTATCCGTTTTCGATAAAATTCATGGATTAATCGTGAAATCGTTTCTCTCTTTCCTTCCAGAACGAGGATATCGCGAGGGAGAACATAACGGAAACGCTCGGTACGATGGCTAAAGTGTGTCTTCGAATGTTGGAAAATCCGTAAGTACCTTAAGGTTCTCTCTTTACGTCGAGAGAACGACGGAGCGAGAGAGAGAGAGAGAGAGAGAGAGAGTCTCTCTCGCGGTGTGGCTAATTCGGGAAATATCTCTCCGTAGGAATCTGTTGGCGCAATTCCAACGAGAGGAGACCCAGCTCTTTGTTTTAAGGGTTATGGTGGGTCTGGTGATCCTCTACGATCACGTACATCCCCAAGGTGCCTTCGTAAAGGGTTCGAATGTGGATGTGAGTATCGGACGAGTCCGCGTCGACGAATATTTTAACGCGTCGCGGCAAGGACCATCTTCCTTTCTCTTCGCTGCTCGCGTTTCTTTCCAAGCAAATGACGGTCTTCGCGTCTCCGACAGGTTAAAGGCTGTGTGAAGCTATTGAAGGACCAACCGCCTTGCAAGAGCGAGGGCCTCCTCAACGCCCTGCGTTACACCACGAAACACTTGAACGAGGAGAACACGCCGAAGAACATAAAGAACCTGCTGGCCGCATGATTGCCGAAGCAGCGCGGCTGCTGCATCAGAAGCTGAGGGATAGTCGGCCGCACCAGTTCGCGGACACTTCTCGAACGATATCGTCGTTCTCGCACGATCGTCTCTACGGCTCCGCGCGGAGGAGGCTCGAGATCCCCCCGTGGTCGCGTAAAACGTGACCCCCGCGCGTCCGGGTTGGTGAAACACAGCGCGATACATCAACGGAAGCACCGTCGTCGAATGCTGCCCGATAACTGCCGAGAAAAGCGAAGTCTCCGAAACAGCGATCGTCGCTAGCAACGCGTATAATGACAGAATAATTATAATAATAACGATAATAATAATAATGACGATAATCGTTAGTGTGACGATCGAGTACAGCCAAGCATCCGGTCGTTGCGAGCCCCTCTTATTTTCCTACGATCGTCTGAGAGTGCGTTAATCCTTGTCATTATCACCGGCGACGCTTAGGTCCGGTTTTTCATTTTCTGCTTAACTTGTGGTTCAGGCTTAACCTGACGATAACAAAAATGTTTCTCTATTCATAGTTGATCGTTAAATTTTACCACTACGAGCTACCACTACGAAACCAACAGTTTAATGATTAACTATGAATAGGAAAAACAATGTTTGCATCATCATCAGTTTAAGCTTAAACCATAAGTTGGCCGAAAAATGAAAAACTGAGTCTTAGAGACGCAAATCAACGCAAGTGTCGTCCTTCCTCCGTTATTCATCGAATATGGAACAATGACGGAATGACGCTCGCGTCGATCTGCGTCACTGAACGGATGCTGTCACACGCGAATCACGTCGTTCTCGACCAACGAGAGAGACACAGTCGCGACGGATCTCACGCATCTTCGATTTTCTTTATCAGCGTCGATCGTTTTCACGAAACGCTCGTCGTCGACGTTTCAAGCCGAACAGCAAGTCGCGCGAGACTCACCGGTTCGTAGAGTTTGCATTTTTCTTGGCAAAGCAGGCGAACGAAAGTAATCGTGAGACGTTTTTCGGTCAGATATTCACGGTGCACAGCAATGTTTCCCCTCCCCTCACCCTTCCCACGCAGACGCAGCGTTTCAGCAACCTCGGTCTTTTGATTGAGCCATGATTTCCATCCGGACAGGACGAGAAGTTAATTACGGCATATCATATATAGTGTATTTAGGGTAATTTGAAGTGTGAACTTTTGGGGATGTTACGGAGAAGATAAAAAGGAGAGAAAGAGAGAGAGAGAGAGAGAGAAAGCTTTAATGACGTTATGGATATTATGGAGATCTTTAGCTCTTGTTTACTTTGTTGAATAGCGAGCGAGAGATGGATTATGAAACAGGTCGTGAGAGACAGTGGCGGCGAAGTGTGTGGCGAGTCGCGGAATCGAATATACTGCCGGATCGTCGGGTATGGTCGATAATTTAATTTCATCACATCGCGGTATTATCGCATATATCTCGAAAGCATTCGGGTATAATTGCAATCGGGAGACTGTCGAGTATTATTGCACCAGATTTGGGTTATTAATCTGAAAGGAATTATTTAGTAGATCCTCCTTTTCCCCGTCGACGAACGAAAGAACCAAAGACGTTTCCTTTTTAGTGTATAGCAGAATCGCGAAGGCACTTTGAGTGTGATTTATTAATGTCAGTCGCGAGTGAGGAACATGAGTCACCCGTTCCAGCACGTTTTCGCTCGCGACTGACGTCGAAATTTCGAGAACCCGTTTCCTTTACGGTTCTTTCTCTATTATTATTATTATTGTACGCATCATTATTATTAGTATTCTCATAAATTGCCCTACCAATGAAAGTTTTACTCGTAGTGACCAACAAACACTCGCACAAACGCCGCGATATACGTCAGCGGTGCACCACGTCATTGTTTACACGTTAACGCGGAAACTCACGTGCGTACAAACGCGGTGATCTCTCACCGCGCGATAATTTGTTGTACATTGCCCTCTTTAGCGATTATCTCGCACGTAAGCGACTTTTGAGCGGATCTTCACGTTGCGTTAAGACTTCTTACTGCGAATTTGTATTGCTTGTGTAACAAAAGTGGGCCTTTCAATAATATTTATTGTAACACATTAAAATATTACGTTATTGTATTTAACGTATGTACGCTTTTCGATCAGTCATTCAAGTCGATTTTCACGATTTCCGGTATTTTTGCAGGCCAAAAAGATTATTCGTTCCACTTCTCCGCGTGGCTTCTGAAATGAAAATTCCGCGTGGGACTTGTCGACAGAGATTTAAAGCAGTTCAGATTTCTCAGCAAAGTTTTATCACCGAACGAATTTTCGCGACCGCATGTCGCAAACATTTCGGAGATCGTTCTTCTTTTTATACGACGTGAATTTCAGGAAGAACTTGTAGGAGTTCTCAAGAGACAGAGAGATCATTGACTTCAGTGCAACGTCTCCTCGCGGGTTTTAAAGATTAACACTTTGAAGACTGTTTTGCCGATCATAATCTGGAGTCTGTGTAAGTATTATTATGTACACGTAACCGATAGGATCGCACGTTTAGATAAGATTACACCGCGAGAAATCATTCGCTATCGGCGAATCTCAAACACACTCATGACTGTACATATATATAGACTGTTACGACACACTATTGATATCCGCAGGTATATTACTATCATATCTTGACACTCACATCGACAGGTGCTCCGAATTGTTGCCTTGGAAATTTTTAAGGGAGAACAAAAGAACAAAAACGGATGTGCAGCGGATGTGCATTCGGTTACTCTCGCGTACTGTTCATTGTATACGCTTTTATTTTGCATACGACGTCATTTGTGTGACACGAGAAATATTATCACTATTATTGCACGTATATTGATTGTATTTACGATTGCATTAAATTAAATTAAAGTCCCCCTGAAAATGAAGTCTAATCATTTCTTTATATATCTATCTAATTATTTCAACGGTCGCTCTTGTAGATTGCGTTTCCTTTCAGGAAACGCGCACGCGCGATAATCATCGTACCGGTTACATCAGAATCTTCCTTCCCGTATGTATTATTATTTTGTAAGAGCATTACTATTAATAACTCGCTGGACAAACAGGATGAACTTATATATTTTCGCTATCCCGCCTTAGTTGCAAAAAATATACTCGTGTGTGTATGGCAAATCAATGTTACTTTCCCGTATAGCTTGCGAATGACATTTGCTGGAATCGTTCAAAGAGTCCGATTTGATTTTCAATATGTGAATAACAGTGTTAATTATGTATTGCTGTTGAAATGTTAACAAAGGTTTGTAGACCATGATAATGATTTATTATTTAATCGATGAATAATTTATTCGTCAGTTAATTTATAATTGACTAATTAATAATTTAAATTAAATTAAATTTATAATCAATTAATTTATAATCTAAACATTTTTTTTCCATTGGATGCGACGAAGTCAAATTTTTTCACTCAAAAACCGAACGAAACCAACTCTTTTACTAACGCAATAATTTACAATAAAAATGAAAAAAAATTTTGTAACTATTTTACCCGAATAATTTTTCTTTTATTTCTTCACAGAACAGAGAATTTGACTTGCGCGATATATTTCTGAGGGCAACAAGATAACACGATTGATTTCACGACGAAGGAAGTAAAATCGCGGGTTTCAGAATGAATAAGTTATCACTTGTGATAGATAAACCGGAATATAGAGGAAGGACCCGAAGAAGATAACCAAGTTTTTACGCGAGAATCATTTTATTAATAGTCAGTACAATAATACAGTTCTCGATATCGCCCGTCGATATCGCAGTTTCTTTCACTGGCAGTCAATAATCTACGCGAGCGGAGCGCCGGGAACAACCAGCTGCTGCCGGAGAGAGAGCTCATGATTCTCGTAGCAGGTGGCGCAGAAGGCCCGAGCCCGGCATTACGCGACGCCACGGCGGTTATTAAGGCGCAATTCTTTAAATATTGATTGAAAGTGGGTTGGAATCGTGGGTGGTGCTCGGGGGTGGCTGGAGGAATGGAAGTGGGAGCCGGAGGCCGGTCGAACTGGCGAGATGAGATGAGAAGGTTGACCGGGAGAAGGGGAGACTATCTATTATATATGATGGGCGCGGTCGCTCTCTCTATGGATTTTTTTTTCTTTTAGTCCCATTATGAATGCAAGTCACCTCGAAGATAAATTTTTAATCATCGGCCCGCCACCGTCGCGAAGTTTGATTAAACGGCTTCCCGCGGGAAGAAGGCGAGCCGACAAGACGGCTCGCGCGCGAGCGAGAGAATTGACGGATCGTCATTCTTTTAAATCACTCACGGTCGAACGTTACGTATTTCGTTCAGGTTTCCGCGCGTCCGCAAACGACAACGCGACTTTACGATTGCATCGTAGAAGCGATATGTTTTTAGCGCCGAGGGGGTTCGAAATATAACGCGCTGTCCAATATTTCCATAATATACAGATTTATATCGAAGGCACGTGCGACTTGTCAGACATGATTTCGCTTCAACTAGACAGATTTCCCCCGAGTCGTGAGATTAAGGCGTGAAATGGTTACGTCTTAAAAAACGCGAGAGTTCTCGCGCGCATAATTGACGTATTGTGTCGGTCACAAAGGTTGCAACATTTTTTTCGTAAGTTTCGGAATGCATCCCGTACCCAATAAGGGAAGAATTTGTTAAATAATTAAAGACGACTTTGATAAACAAATAATAGAATAAATTAGCCAATAAGAGTCTACGCCATTATACATAACCTGTTTATAACAGAAAGTTTTCGACGAGTTTTTCGTCGTTACATCTCGTTACATCTCTTAGGAATCCATCGAATAGGAAAAAGTATCTCCTGAGAACGACTGAAAACAAATTCTCTTAGAATAAATTGGATAACAAAAGCCTAACACACCGGTTAACGGGCTATAAAAATCTCTATATTAAAAATTATATTAAATAAAAAACCTTTTCGACCAAAAATAACAGTTTCGACAGATTTTCGCTGAAGAGAACTAGTAATTGACCGAAACGTGTGTTATTTTTGTTTAATGTAATATTTAATATAGAAATTATTAGCTCGTTAATCAATATAGGCTCTTATTAGCCAATTTATTCTATCAGCAGAATTTGTATTTTAGTAATCCTCAGGAAATACGTTTTTTTATTGGATGCGAGATGCGTTGCGAAAAATTCATCGAAAAAATTCTATTACAAACAGGTTACCTAATACATTTTCTGATCGTGTAGATTTCTTTAATGGCACTCTACTAAAATTTTAACGTTCCGTAATGCGTGCGATGTTATATTTTATGTTCTTCCTATATTCATTAAATTATTTTATTTTATATAATTATATAATAATTACTATTATTATTAAAAGCAAAAGTGTTGCAAACACTTTTCGTGACTGACCATAGATTCGAGAAATTTTCGAACTGTCGAGAAGTTTTAAAACGTTCTACGAGAGCGTGGATGCGTGTTATAAAATACAAGACGCTTCTGTGATCGTTTTTTAATTCATACGTCGTGTGTGTAATTTCGTTCAAAGTCGTTTGCGCTCCCCGAGACTGCTCTTGAGGCTTCCGCGAGCTCCCTCAAAAGCTCCTCGAACCTTCTCAATTCCGCTCAAACTCTCTCGAACTATCTCAAATTCTCTCAATTCTGCCTCCCTTCGTGCGCCCCTCGCCACCGCGCACAGCTCGCATCGGCGACTCTCTTTCTTTCGGACTGGAGCGCTGCGGAGCGACAGAGACGCGAACACAGGCACCCCTATGGATTTTTTTCCGCACCGCGAGAACACCCGCTCTTCGCGCGCGCCCCTCTCTCCGTTCCTCTGGCGCGGGAGCCGCGTCGCGATGTTTTAAGGGCTGCAGCAACCCCCAGTGGCGGTTCCGCGAAAAAAATTCAACCTCCAATTTGTGAGGTTGGCGACCTGTTTAATTGCGATATCCAATTCCCTCCCTGCGCGATCCGTCTTTTTTCCCTCTGCCTCCCGTGCTCTTGTCCCTCGGCTCTCGCTCGCGGTTTTCGAGGCGTCGAGATGGTTCATAAGGGCTGCTCTCGCTCGTTAATCTTCCGAGACGGCTTTTTTTCGCAGCCATCCGGCGAGGCACGACGTCGCCTCGCTCGGGAATAATAATGAGACTAATCCGCGCGACACACCCTGTACATTAATTCCTTGCACGGATCGCTCTTCTCTCGAGCCGACCACTTGAAAGTCCCGGCGATACGAATTACGACTCTTTTTGGGGTTTTTTTCTCTTTCAATAGCGATAAATTCGGAGAGACAAGAAGAGAGAAACGCGAGCATCTCGAGTAGTCATGACGATTTCTTCGCGCCGTCTCGACTCTCGGCATCATTTATGTTTCTATTATCACATTGCGGATCCATATGTAGTTGTAATAATTAACTATAATTTTAATATTATGATATTATCAAGTGTAATATCTTCTTCAGTAATTGTAATATCTTCTTCAAAAATTTTTGAAACGTCAATTATTGAATATTTGTGGGGTTTTTACTATGACATTCGTTCAAAGAGAGATTATCCCTTGTGAAGAAGAATATTAAACAGGATTTACAGATATACGTTGTATCCTGCTAAAAACGCGAATTGACGTTTCCGGTTCTCGGCTCTTCCAAAACTAAAGACGTTAGTTCACGTCTCCAGTTCGCAATGCGTTGAAATTCCTACACTAAGAAAGAAAATAATTTATCTTATAAAAGAGAGTACATATTTTCTTACATTTAATATACAGGGTGCGGCGAAAGGTATGCCCTCATTTTGGAGAGCAATCAATAAAATACTATTAAATGTAGAGGATTGGAAATTTTTTTATTACCTTTGGTACTTCAAACAGTTTTTTTACATTAACGTTTAAAAACGATATCTGCAAGATGGCGGCCTCCAGTAGCAATGCACTGATGTAGCCGATTTTGGAAGCTTCGGGCTGCGTTTTGGCACATCTGAATCGGAATGGCGTTCACCTCTTCGATGATTCTCCTTTTCAGTTCTTGTAGGGTATGGGGACGATGCTTGAAGACTTTTTCTTTCAGATACCCCCACAAGAAAAAGTCACAAATGCTCAAATCGGGCGATCTTGCTGGCCACCCCAAATCACCCCTCA